CCTCCAGTTAGAGTTATAGAAAAAATCTTTATACAATATAATTCATGCAATCCAAAGTTTGCAATTTCTATGTTACAATAGGTGTTTCAAACTTAAATATATACATGTACACATGAACATTATTTGCACAGATATATATACTAAAGAATTAAAATAGCTACCAGGCTAATTCAATATAATTCTATAATTCAATATAAGAAAAATATAGCTATTATAATTAAAGCTGTTTTCAAAATGTAAAAATCTAGGATCACTTAACAGAAGTAGTTGATGCTACTTAGAGTCACCACGAAAGTAAATCAAACATGAAATAAGCTAAGTGAGGAGTGCTAGCTGGAATACATTTAACAGAAAAACACATACTTGAGGCATGTGTTGTTCGCGGAAATAAAACAGCACACAACTTATGGTACAGAACATTATGGTACAGAACTCCTAATCCAGTCCTTGTTTACTCTTGAAGAATATACAAGGCACATGGAGATGTGTGATGCTGAGTGTGTGTCTGTGTGACACACATGAAAGCCAGTAGTAACTGTCAGAGAGCAATGGCCATGTATTTAACTGCACATTACTAAGAATGCAGTCTTTCACACAAACACAGACATGCACACACTCCATTCCCTGTTCACTGGGTCATAATCCAGTCAACCAAATGTTAGCAAAATGTTTGTGAGGCTGTTCTTGTGTATTTTTGTCTTTTTCCATCAGGCTAATATCAGAACCTGCTCATTGAGTACATACCAGATGTTGTTGTATCTCTGAAGAAACAGAAAACACACAAATAAGTAAATACCTACACACAAGCCCAAATGGACAAGCTGGCAGGAACTGAGAAGCACACATACATGTGCGCTCACTAACTTCAAACCATCTGGAGTGTCCAGATTAATTTCAGATTGTTCTTCACTGTGTTTCCAACCCAGTTCACCTCTCCCCCTCAGCCGTATCTGTGTCTGTACCTTATTCTGTCTTCAGTTGTCTCTCTCTTTCTGTCTGCCATCTTTTCTGCTGCCAGATCCCCCTCTTGAGCAGATGGGATAAGAAGAATTCAGCGGATATGCACATCAACCCGGATACCATATTGTAAGCATCATACTTGGGGCATTTCAGTAAAAAGCACTTTGTTTATCCTCTTAGATAATGCAGAGTTGAGGACTCCCTCTTCAGTTTCCTAACTGAAGAGGGAAACTGACTGATTTCTACTGTTAGTAGTGTGTTCTTAGCTATGCTACCTATTTATATCAGGGAAGTAAAATCCCGTAATTTGTTTTTTCAGAAACAACTTCTTGTGGCCCATCAGTGAGCAAACAACTGTGGCCTGCTTTCTAACAAACACTGTAATTCCAACAACTTTTTTTAAATTTAAAAGTAGCATAAAATGAGCTTTTGGTTATCAGAACTTGCCAATAATATAAAACAAAAAGGTTATACACATCGATTTCAATGTGCAAATGTGCTCTAATAACATAATAATAGATTGAAAAGATGGTATATTCTTCTAGTTCTAGTACCATGGACTTTACATAAAAGCTTGACACACCAACTCTAACATCACTGCTTCTGGACTCACATCTGGATTAGTATTGTGGCCAATCACCATTCTGGTTTTGCTGGAGAGGGAAGTTTAACACTAAACAGTTTCATGTTTGTTCGTAGAAAGCAGAGACACTGATTCCTATCAAATACTGTGATACTTTCATAGTATACAAACAAGTACTAGAATTTCATTCATCAAAATTAGAGTAAAAACGTGGCTCACAGTGTGTTAGTACATTAACTGCACAGCAAGCCATTTTATGTATCAAATTTTTGCATTAAATTATGCTCTGTCTTATATATATCTATACATATGCTTGAAATAAATGATCAATCAATCAATCAACATGCACCAGAAGTCACCGACCTTATATATCCAATGAAAATGTCCTGCTCATTGACTTCAACTAGCTGAGGTGAGACCTAGCTGACAGACACAGGCTAATCAGCACCCACTCTTCACTTAAATCGTCTACATTTCTAGTAATGCATAACTTTAAGCATCATTAGAATGGTAAGCTGAACTGCTGTTGTGAAGCAAAAAGCTAGTAGATATAGACCCTGAGTTTGCTATTTGCTAAGTATGACAGAATAAAAAAAAGAGATAGATC